TTTTCATCGATTTTCGAGCAAAAAAATTTATTTTCATCTCTCAATTTTTGGAAAATTTGGAAAACATATTCCGATTACCATTTTTTTTACCCAGGAATTATCACTCGATCATCAATAGATACAACTCAAGATAATGAGAACAATACATACATGGTCCATTACATGGATTCTGGGTAATTTGTGGCGCATAATTAGGGACTTGAGAAAATACCTGGAAATACCGTTTGAGGTTTACAATACGATAAATCTTGGGTAGCACACAATTAATCGGTTGCGAGGCACTTGAAAACATATCCGTTAGCGGGGTATTTTGCTGACCCCGAGAGTCATCCGGCGTTGGTTCCGAATGTTTGGTAACCAGTATAGTGCCTTGTGCCACTGCTAACCGATATGAGTCGCGTGGTATATATAGGTAACTACCGATCGGTTGTAACCAAATGGTTGGGGTGAGTGCAAGTCCTGATCCGCTCGTGTGTGCGCTCGCCGCAAGCCCAACATAATAACAACGACCAATTAAAATACCTTATTATCGCAGAACAATACGCTTACGGGGCTGTGCAACAAAGCAAGGATACTGCATATGCGGTGGGAGTAGTTCGACTTCATGTAGAGGGATTTCCCTCGAAATGTCAGATAATTAAGAACTAAAATAAATTACCATCAACCCGTCGATATTAAAATTACAATTGAAATTTCAGGTCCAGAATTTTTCATTGAATCACTTAATCAAAAAATTCAGATATTTTCTTGAATTTCTTGAATTATCATTTCACATGAAAAATCTTAATTTAAAATAAGGACTTTCTCATAATAATTAATCGTCAAGTTAATACAGAAGTAAAAAAAATTTCGCCATTCAGAGTTCTCGGGATCTCTCAACGTAATTGCATATGCAGTATATTCAAACTCTAATATGGATTCATTCGCGTGTTTGGTCTGTTAATATCGATGTCATTAAACTTGGAGTGCCGATGGTGGATCGCTCGTTTACCATCCCTGGATATTCTGCACTCACCAAAACTAATATAAACTTATATAAGTATACATTGGTCACGCGAATCAAAAATATTCATTCCCGAAAGAGCGTAAATGATTTATTAACCGGTTTACTTTCGCCGGTTGCCACTTTTGAATCAACTCATGACTTTATCTTTCTTTACATGGATACATAATTTTCTCACACCCGTAATGAATTCGTCGTTAAATTTGCGGTCGAATGATTGAATGGTTATCAATTAGCAATGATTTTTCTTCGTGAAATGAGCTAAGTGGTTAACTTATGACAGTAAGTAATTAAGCCCGTACTTACTGTGACTCCATTGTCTTCATGGGCTTCCAGCATCGTACAAGTCGTTATTAATGCCATCGTTAAAACAGAGAGGCGCTAAATCCTGAGACTTTGGAATGAGGTCTTCTTGGCCGTCTTCGAAGCTTTGTAGAGATGCTCAGTCTCCAGTGGTGTGTACTGCACCAATTTCTCCCTGGAGTCTCATTCGTACCGTGTTCTGTAACGATAAAGAGTAGGAACTTGCACGAAATGACGCGAAAAATGGCAAATTTCATTTTATGAAATTCCGAGAGCAATTTGACAGTAAGTTTCGCCATCAATTTCCTCATTTTGAATATAAAACAGCAATACTTATTCCCACGGCAGCGTTACACGGGAAAAATGAAATGGCATGTTGCTAGATTTTTCAGTTAAAAGGGAAGATAAACTCGATGTAAATTTTTTATTGTAAAAAATTTAAGGAGTTACTTTCTAACAGTATATGCAACATCGGTATCGAATTGTGCTGATCGAATCAATAAGAAATTCAATGGCAGCCGCTACTTGGAAATGGTTCCTGTAAACTCAACATCACCTCATCCCGTAAAAACTATATTTATGGTAGTTTTTCGGACTGGCCAGTAATCTTTCCACTGGTATCCCATGATTCTCAATCCCCACATTGATTGATTAACGATCAGGGCTTGCATAAGGCTTGTCGATCGCTTCTTTAGAACTGCCTCTTCTAAATGTTCTGTAAGCGACCGAAGGCCTCTTTAAATTGTCTTCAAAATTTTTCACATTTTTTCGCAAACTGTCTCAAAACCTCCAGAGACTTTTGCCACTGCGAAAAAACTTTGAATTCGATTAGTGTCGGGGACATTAGCAATAAATGGTCCGATTGGATACGAAAATTAGCGTTGAGCAAAAAACTTGTCTGCTTCCCGTATAGGAGATGCTGATTATTCATCGCCATTCACATTTACATTGGCAGTTTTCAGATCAATTGAATACACATTATTCCTTTTTCCATTATTCAAGAAGTATTCAATTTTAAAACAGTATTGCACAGTATTCAAATTTTTCGGAATAAAAATTCGGAATGACTTTTGCCAGTAAATCTTCATTCGAAAAATTAATACCCAGCTGTCGATGAAATTCGATTTTTTTTCTAACAGCTCAGTAATGGCTGCAATTATTGGAATACTCGGTACATCGTGACTTATTACGGGGCTTCTAGAGCTTTTTCACCAAGTACTGATAATATGCAGGGAGAAAAGGTCGAGTATGAAACAGAGGGCATCGACCGAAGGTGGAAAATTATAATTCCATAAATATCCATGGAAGAAAACGTGCTGAGCACTAACATAACATCTCCTATATGAGCAAAATACTGGAGTTAAGATTCTTGATTTCATATGCCGGAAGTTAATATTGAACAATTTGAAACGTGTGGAAGCGTAATTCGCCTTGGTTACGTGGTACAACCTTGAAGAACCATCAAATCTCCTGTAATACGTAGCTGCCCAAAGATGAAATTCCGCAGTACAATCACGGATAAAATTCATACGTGAATTAAATCATTAATCGAACATGACGCAAAAAAAAAATTACCATCACATTAAATTGAAAATGTCAATGAAAAATTTCATCCCGTGAAAAATGCAATTTTCAATTCAATGATTAGTTATCCCGTCACAATGGAATTCGATGAATGGGATACAACAAAATTTATCAGCGAAATAATACACATAAGGAATTTTCCCAAGCGCCTCTAACACTCAATTCCAAATGAATTTGAAACGTCATTTGTACTGTTACTCACGTTGACTAGTTTGGGATTGAGTTCAATTTCTCAAAGAGAAAATGAGACGAGTGCGAGGTGTAAAGGTATACGTATATAGGCTCAGTGAAAGTGGGTATATTCATCAGAAACATGCACCCCAGGGGGAATGAATCGGGTCTGATTTTAATCAAACTGAGGAAAATAGCGGTCCAAGCCCTTCCCATTTCACAGTCGTGCGCGCTATTTGCTCCACGTGTCAAAGTGCCCGAGGAATTGAACGAGCCAACGAGAACTTTGAGAATGTTTTTCTATGTAGACGTGTAAAAGAGAAAGAAGTGGATGAAAAAAAAGAGGTGCACGTATTCAAGTAATTGGCCACATATGCCATGTGTGGCAACTTAATCATGAACATTTCGGAAGCAATGAGAAGACATTGAGCTGGCAATCGCAGATCCCCAGGGGTCTACTGCACATCGTGGGTGGCAATTGGAGTGATCGTGATACTCCCTTGCCCCCTCATGCCCACTCATGTCCCCTCGTTCCCTCTTCTTCCGCAATCCTTGAAATTCACAGGAGCATGACGAAGACATCCGGATGATCCACATCCAGTAGCTGAGGATGAAAAATAAAGAGAAATAAAAACCCAAGGATCTCGGGAGATATACGCGAGCAGAACGGCAAAAGGCTTGGCTGGCAGGTAGGCCAGGTTACGTATGAACGAATCTAACGTATGAGCTTGGAATCGCGCCAACTCCTATTTCACACTAGCAGCAAGATCCCGTGGACTCGTTGCTCGGCTAACCTCCGTTGACCAATAGACCACTGGATAACCTATGCTAACTCGGTTATCCGTTAGAAATATGCTCATATCTGCACATTCCCCGTGTCCTCAATGACCCAGATTTCCGACAAATGGAATACTTGTATAATGCCCAAATCCACTCATGCATATCTGAACATCTCAATTCTATCGCTCGACGAGTCAATTATTTTTTTCTTCCTATTCGCTAAAATCTCTTGGGATATTTCCATTTTATCAGTCATTATCGCTAAATATTTGAGGGAGGTGTCTACTCGCAGAGTTTATACTTCTTCTTGATGAATCAGTATAAGTAGATTAAGTAACTGGATTACCAATTATTTCAAGTGTCTTATTAGTAATGAAGACCAAGTAGTTCTGCCATTGGTATCAACTCCCAGCAGTTGTATCTTCTGAGGAGCTCGTACCACCTTCAAGGGTACATCAAAAGGAATACTGTTAATATTAAATCTCTCAAGGTAGAAATTTCAATATTTACGTCGTGTTTCTGGTAGGTTCAAAAGACTTTTCATTCCTTGTTTTTTTTTTCTTCAGTCCGATTTCAAAACTATAGCACTGAGATACTTTTCGCTAATTACGAAGACATAAAATGACACAGGAAAAATAATGCTAATGAGCTTTATCATTTTCGGGGTTTTCATGCACGAATTGAAGCATAGGTTAATAACCTTGTGAACAATTATGAAAGATAATGCATAGTTGGAATTGAAGAGCGGCACGCAGGACAGAAGTTAGACCGGCAATTTATGAGCCTAGATTTGTAATTCCACCTATTATACATACGAAACTTGGCTTAAACTTTCAAGACACAAGTTGGTCACCCAGTTTCCCATTGTGGCAATTTCCATCTTTAATGTAACCAATTACCTATTTGGGGCACAAGATTTATAACCCTTATATTGAAAGATGAATTTTGGCTATTTAATTTGGTCCGTGTGAAAATTGAAGTTGGTTATTCATGAATGAAAATAAAAAATGCCGGTGAGTGAATATTTTCCGTTTAAAGCGGTACAAACAGCAGTGGAAATATCCTTGGCTTATCCTAGACTCAATTTATTTTCGTCTGTGGCGGGTGAGCGAGACAACTCGATTAAAGTTATGCCTAGTAGAGGATCGGCGGAAGGTGCGGAGCGTTGATCCCACAACTTGGAGGTTATGCCACCACCTTGTTACGCGTAATATATAATGGATTTTTAGCCGGAAGCGGTGTGGCGGCCGTACATCATGAGCCCTACTTCCGTCCTGCCCATAACTCCCGTGTGAGATCCAACAAGCTGATTTATTTTACCGTCGGGTCCAGCAGGAGTCTCTCCCCGTGGCTCCATTATCTTCTCGACGGACTCCGTGATCCTTTGTAATTCTCCTGTTCTATTACTTAGCATACTACCCTTTAATACCGAAGATACCTATAGACCCGACTCTTCCCTAATTGCTTCAAAAATTGAGTTACCATTATTATTCTCATCATTATTGAATGATAGAAGGTACACCGTCTTAAAGTTAAATTCCATCAGGCACCAACTAATTAATTGACTAAATTCAATAATCTCGCCGTTATTATCTCAAATATGTGATTATTCGTTGTTGAATAAATTTAATCAACGATGGAATTTCACGAGCAAGCGTAGTTGCACATGAATGACAGTAAGGGAAGTGAAAATTTCCTAGGAACGGTGAAAGGAACCAATGGTTATAAAGCCCGTTTCGTACACCCCAAATACTCTTGTGTGCATGCATTGCGCTCCCTCTTTTCTCCTGCTATACCAGAACGACGGGGTGTTCAAATATGACATCACAGCATGAATCCAGACAGAAACTCCTTGGTGAGCGAGCAATGGAATCATCCAAAACCCACCCTCAAGTGAGCGAATCAAGTGAAAGCAAAGGCCAGGCAATCCGCCTCTCAGCAGGATACGGAACTCAGAGGGTGCCCAATACAACTCACCCACCTCCTCCCTCCTTCCTCTGTCCTCTGTTTTATATTATTTTTTTTTTTACTTTTATTCCTTTTTTACCACCATAATATCCCTCTCTTTGTGTCCAATAGTTTCCATCTATTTCCTTGGATTACTCTCCTCAAATGTTCCAATTTTTTTTCCCATTCTATTTTACCCACCTTTTTTTTCCAAGTCGATGGGCGATATAAAATGTAAAATACTCTAATGCAATGGTGCAATGAAAACGGATTGTCAGAGGTGGTGCACGTGGAATTGACGTTTTCGTGAGTAGAGAACGGATTATATATAAAAAAAAATTGGAGTGCTCTTTGATCTCGAAGCTCAACTCATCCTGGCTCTGCTACATACCATTAATTCGTGCAATTTACTCGAGCAGGAGAAAAACATTTAGCTTTGATGGGGAAGTTTTGATTTTTCATACAGAAATTATTGCGAGGCTGGTTTTTTGTCAATCCATTATCAGCATGTTTTACCCATACAAAAACGATTAATAGGAAAGGGGTGAAAAAATGTTGAAAATGGAAATTTCACAGTGTCTGTTACAGACATAACAAAGTGGAGAGGATTGAAATAATGTCAAGTGGAAGGGGTAGATAAATGAAGGCAGAGAGACTTAATGAGAGAGCCCCGGGCGAACATTCATATTTATGTGAACCTAGACGACACTAGCACGC